TTTTCTAGACCTCCAGGAACATGACCTGGTTACCTATAGGTTTGGCAAAATTATTAAAGGCCAAAAAAAGGATATTGTAAAGTTCCATTCAGTCTTCCTATCTTTATTATTATGGTTTGTCTTCTCTGCACCCTTTTATAAGTTTATCTGTCATTTGTTGACCCTTATTTTAAAATTTTAATTCTTTATTAGGATGTGCACTTGAATGCATAGTAACTTATAATCCATGATAAACCTAAACTTTTGACAAGTGGTTAAGTATAATCGTTTACTCTAGAAATCCAATCAATAGTAGTCTAGTCAAAACCCCAAATTACTGGATGATGGTGGTACATATAACCTTATAAGGAAATACGTATTTTGTTCTTAAAAAAGGTTTATTAGTGGAACACTTCATAGTCCGATTCATCTGCATTACTATTTCAAGTAACAAAATATGGTGCATAATGATGCACCTGGATAAATTATAATGCAGCTTTTATAAGAGGAATTCTGTCAGTCAATTTGCTTATCTATTTCTTTGAGAGTTTGAAAAGATGTTATATATGTAAGTACAGAATGGAATTTACTTTCTAACTTTTTCTGTATTTCATTTTAGAGAGGGCTGGACTACCTAATCTCCTAAGGGTCTTTGCAATATTAATGTTAACTTGAGTTTATTCATGTGTGTGACACTTAACCATTTCCCAAGTACTCTCAACAAAAGTATGGCAAATTAAAATGGTGTTTTATATATGTCCATCCCAGACATTTCCAACTACGCTGCAGTCTAAAGGATATCAAAAGCAAGGTCAAAATTATTTTTCACTGACATTCCCAGTCTTGAAGTTCCAGTATTTGTGTTTTAGGGATTGAAAGGATTTTTTTTGGGGGGGGGGGGGGGTGAAATCACAGGGATATTTTCTGAATGTTTTATACCCTTGTTTTATTGTCAAATGCAACTATTAATTTTCTACTTTAGAGACTTTATTACAAAAAATTTTCTATAGTTTTTCTGGTTAAATCATTTTATACTTATTACCTGGAGTTTATGCCTCAACTTCTTTGAACTCCATTTTTCAACTTGCTGTTTTCAGGTTAAGAAAAATGTCACATAAGTATTATATTTGCAATTCCATTAATTGACACCACTAAGGTAACAGCAAGTGTTAACATGTTCCAGATTATACCTTAACACCAGACTATGTCTTCATTGGGTGAGGAATAATAAGTGACACAGAATAGAAGTTCTTTCTATATGCGGTTCCTCAGGCAACAGTTGGCTCCAAGCAGATATACAGCACTCTGAACAGTGTCAGTAACACAGACCAACTTATAATGGTCATTTAAGTTTCCTGGTACTCAAGGTTATCCTCAATTCAGGGTTTTTTATATAACCAAAAAACTAGCATTCTAAATAATGTTACATGAAAACAGGTGGAATACAAGTATTTTCATGGAAGTTCTCAACTGTTGAATGGTTTGAGTCTTCTGGAATAACTAAACTATTTTTCTTAAAATGTTCCCATAGGAAAATACTTGGAAGGCAAAAAATTTGAAATTCTGAGAGTGGGGAAGATTTATTTTGAGGACCACTCATTACAGCCCACTTTCATCACCAGTTTTTATAAAGTGTAATGTAGGGGTCATCTAATGTCAATGCAGAGGCCCAGTGAAGGCAAAATGAAGGATCTAGGTAGGGAAATTGAACCTCTGATATGCCAGATCTAGGTTATGCTATGGGTGGGAATTCCCCCCTAAAATATCTATTGAGAACCAAATTACTAACACAATAAATTAGAGAAGATACCCAGGGCTTAATTATAGTTTGCTAGCTTTGTTACCTCAAATACTTGCTCTGGCGTTTTCCCTGTCCATAAAATGTGGAGGGATCCTCATACTTTTCAAGTTGGCCATTATTTTTCCTCATAACAGATGAGGAAGCAGAGCCCTAAAAGCACACAGATGGCTTGACAAAGTTGCCTATTATTGCAGAAGTTTGACTCGAACCCTGCACCTCTTATTCTGTTACTGTTGTATTCAACTAACTATTCCTTTCTCCCCTTAATACCATCTTTCAAAAAGGCCCTAAGCTAGATGTGTAATGACAAGTACCTCTGTACTAACAAGGAAAACATCTGGGTTATCAGATTTGTGAAAGGTACCACACTGATGGGGTTAACAATATGGAACTTTGGGTTTGAGAAAAATCAGCTTTTTCACTCAAGTTGCTTGGGGCAAGTTACTTAATCTCACTAAACTTCACTTTCCTTGTAAAATGTACTAAATAAGTACTTTTGAGGTACAGTAGGTCCTTAATGTTTCGTTTAATGTTACAGTAATGAGATGCGACAGGCACTCAACTCTTGTTTATATCAATAGCCTATGGTAAAATTAGTTTTGTTATACATTATTTCCCTTAAAAGTTGGGGAACTTCTCGAGAACTTTAGGTGAGGACATTTCCTGTACTGGGAAAATGCTGGCTCATTGTAAGTAGCTAATACTAACATTTGACATCAAGTTTTTGTAAGAAAACCATTAAAAAGATACAGATCAGCCCTAACTGGTTTGGCTCAGTGGATAGAGCATCGGCCTATGGACTGAAGGGTCCCAGGTTCGATTCTTGTCAAGGGCATGTACCTGGGTTGCGGGCACCTCCCAAGTAGGGAGTGTGCAGGAGGCAGCTGAATCGATGTTACTTTCATCGATGTTTCTAACTCTCTATCCCTCTCCCTTCCTCTCTGTAAAAAAGTCAATAAAATATATTAAAAAAAAAGATACAGATCATACTTGCATCAGTTACCCATTATGATCTAGAGCAGTAGTTGGCAACCTTTCGGACTTCATGGATCACCAGTTGGTGACCGCTGCTCCAAGGTTTTCCTTAAACGAGCGGTTGCCAACCTTTCAGACCTCACGGACCACTAGTGGTCCGTGGACCACCGGTTGGTGACCACTGATCTAGAGCCCTACATAGATGACACCTTTCCCAAGAAAAAATGTAGGTTTGCCTAATAGCCTTCAATGAAATATGGATTCTTCTACTTGATACAGGTAAGTAGAGGAAACAAAGCTGACTGATATGAAAGAAAAATATGCTGTTGTGCTTCTTAGTATTAAAGTGGTTCCTAACTGTCTTAATACTTGTCTTATAACAGCTATGCTATTTACATTACTCAAAAGGCATACCTACTATATGAAGTTTTCCTTTTTACCGTTCATGCTTGATTGCCTGTCGGCATATTATTACACTTTATACTTGTCTTTAAAACAACTGCATTTAACTTTTAATTGATACTCTCTTCTTTAAAGCTCTTGGCCCTAGAAACTTTTTTTTTAGTAGTCTAAAGGTATGAAGTAAAGGGTTAGCAATCCAAAATATAGTTGATTCTCATTTCCTGGTCATTTGTGGACACACAGTGTTGAAAATTTTGAAACACCTAATATACAAAAATACAATGCTTTGTTTTCATACTGTGTACAAGTATTCTTTTCATGATTTAGTGCCTACTTTTTTTTTTCAACCTTTGTGTGCTTTTTATTGGTGATTTCCCTGTTTAATATGAGGGAAGTGCTGCCTAATGTTCCCAAACACAACTGATGTGCTACCATGAGTGGTGTCTGTGAGTTAAATGTTAAGGAATCAACAATATATCACATAAGGTGTCTTTAAACACACATAAAACAAGGTTTTATATTAACTGGTTGACTAAAATGTGACTAGAAGATTATAGTATTTCCCCTGGGTACACTGTTTCATTATTTTTAGTGATTTTCTAGAACATAGCTACTACGAATAACAGCTATACCTTCATACCCCTTCCCTCTGAGAGTAACAAAAGATTTATCCTATACAAAAAGCCATGCCTGCCTTATTATACTCTTAAGACATAACAAATAATTGCTTAGATTTTAAACAAGATGGAAAATAAACCAAAAGCAGATATACCCCAACTTTGAAATGCCCTTAAACACATTCCAACACTAAATATTACCTCCATTATTTTGACCTTGAAAGTTTATGTTCTCCATTAATAAGAACTTTAAGATAACTTAAAATTTAGATGGTAGTTAGCATACGCTATCATCTTAAAGCTAAATATAGGTACTGCTAGAGACCACAGATAGCTATTTCCCTGGGGTGTTTTATATAAAAGTCCTTTGGTTAAGATTCTTATATATGTTAGACCAGTGGTTCTCAACCTGTGGGTTGCGTGACCCTTCCACAGGGGTCGCCTAAGACCATCGGAAAACACATGTAATTACATATTGTTTTTGTGATTAATCCCTATGCTTTAATTATGTTCAATTTGTAACAATGAAATTGGGGGTCACCACAACAGGAGTAACTGTATTAAAGGATTGCGGCATCAGGAAGGTTGAGAACTACTGTGTTAGACCAATAGTAAGCCATTTGCCCTCAAATGTCATCTATATAATAAAAGCCTAAGTGACCATTATGGTGGAATGACCAGAATGACTGGTCACTATGCTGTGCACTGACCACCAGGGGTAGATGCTCAATGCAGGAGCTGCCCCCTGGTGGTCAGTGTGCCCTCACAGGGGGAGCACAGCTCAGCTAGAAGATGGGCTCCTGGCTCACCTGAGCACAACAGTGACGGGAGCCTTTACCGCTGCCTCTGCAGGTGGGCAGTAAGGAGTGAGGAGTCCTGGACTGTGAGAGGGCACAGGCTGGGCTGAGGGACAACCTCCTGCACCCTCCCCCCCTCCCCTGTGCATGAATTTCATGCACCAGGACAATATATATGTATGTGTATATATATATGTATATATATATGTGTGTGTGTGTGTATATATATATATATGTATATATATATATTCTCAGAGTCCAAGCTAAGTATTTTGATATCAGAGCATCTCGGTTTAGCTAATCGTGTTCAAGCTTGATCATAAATGCAAGACTTGATTATATAAAAGTTATTTTTACAAATGGTCAGTTTTTTAAAGGTGTTAGCTGAATACACTATTTTCTTGATTAGGAACAACAATACTCTTTTACCAAGTTTTTAATGTATGAAATCTGAATTCTGCCTGTGATATACATGGCATCAACTTTTTTAGGTCAGAGTTGTGGCTAATCTCACTTTCACATTCAGTCTTAAGCAACTGAACCAGCTCTCTATACCCTGACAGTCTGTCCTCCTAACGTACTATAAGAGCCTGTACTAATTCCATCATAATATGTATCACATTGCATTTTAATTACTAGTGTGTGGGTCTTATCAGATTGGGGTTCCTTGAAAGCAGACTTTCATGTTCACTGTGCCTTGAAGTAAGTACCAATTATTTACTAAATGAGTAATGATAGAACAGTGTTTCTATTCAAATGGTATGTATCCATAATTATTGAGCATTAATTTCCAAATATTCTATTATTTGATTTAGAATCTTCAAATTTAAATAATAAACTTATACCAAGGCTTTGACTTAGTTTGTGCTAAATCATTTTAAAATGCATAGCTTCAGGACATTTATTACAAAAAGCTGTTTTCATATACATGACTAACAACTTAAATTCACCATACATTTACTTCATTTTTTGGCTTGACCGTCTAGTAAATCTTTAGCTTCATTGATTTTGGCTGCTATATAAGGAGATCCTCCTATAGGGAAAAAGAAGAAATATTAGATGGAGTCTCGGTTTCTGACGGGTAAAAAGCTATTCTCATTTCAAGGCTTCCTATGCTTATGAGAGGTGCAATTAGCAGAAATAGTATTCCAAAAAATAATTACGATACTGCGACTGGATAACCACATACATGGCAATATATGTGACCAATGGGATGGATT